TAGTACTTGCCAACACCTCTTATTTTTGTGTAGTATAAAATTCTAAAATGAGTACAATTGATTTATAGTCATTTCAATAGGATGAAAATTTAAAATTTTTTTTCTGTTTTTATTCTATCTCAAAAAAATTTTTTATATTGTTTTAAGTTGCTAAAGAAAATATAATTATTCTTTCTCTATACTGGTTGGTGACGAGTTTTTTATGTAAATTATGGAGATGTATATGTATACATTCTTATTTGAAACAATTGTGAATTATTAGTTTTGTTCTCTCTCTCTTTCTATGAGTTGAATCTCAACAATATGTAGGCAACAATTGTGATTCCCTTGTGGTATGAAGGCACGCTTTGTCAATATTATATTTTGAAAGTATTCTTCTTTCGTTTATGTTTGTTTAAAGGCGGTAATCAACAAGTGATTGTCATCGAAATACACCTCTTCGTTCTCTCGTTTTATTCAAATAAACATCAGTTTTTTAATTATTCATCATCTATCATTCATTTCTATTTCCATGAAGAGCTTTTTTTTTCCCTTAATCAGTTGATCTTTTTAACTTTAAAAATCAATAACTTTTTTTTTTTTGCTATCATCAGCTGAGATGTTACTGATTTTATAAGAGCAAAAAAAAAGTGTCTGCATATGAAATTCACATAGATGTATTAGTTGAAAATAATTGGTTTTTTTACACAAGTTTGAAGATGCACGTGTACGTGCTATTGATGAAAAAACAAAAAAAAAACTTATGATAGTCATTGCTCTTCAACACTCTAGCAAATGTGTTAGAAAGAATCAAACAACAACAATAACAACAACAGCATAGAATCGAACTGTGTCAAAGGTGCATTACACGATATTTTTTCATCGAGCGAGAAAAAGAGAGAAATGAAACCTTCTAAAATATAGGTGTTAAAAATGTCAATCTAAGTAAAATAAATCGAACATAGACGTGTCAATTTTAAAAAAAGAGAAACATGTACATATTCACCTGCGAAAAAATTTTTCATTTCATGCGCTTTATAATTTGTCATAATTATTCAAAACAGATAGTCTTTGTATCCTCACTATTTAAAAGAAAAAAAAAAAGAAGATAGACATGATATATGGAAAATGTTCACTTTTCAAAAACAAATTAATTTTTGCTAGGGAAGCAAGATTAGTTTCTCTCGAAATACTTCAAAATGTTATCAGTCCAAATTTTCACTGATTTATTGTTGTAAGCAGAGAAAAAAATATTCATCACACAGGAACACAAAAAGTCTGATTACATCTATAAAAAGTGCAAAAAGAGACGATATTTTCTGTTTTTGAAAAAGTTTGTTAGCGTCTAAAGCTAAATAAAATTTCGACGTATAGCATGTCATATACAGCATGTTAATAACCGCCTATTTTGATTAATATGGGAATCAAACAAAATCTATCCGCGAAGAAATCGCCACTCTAGCCGAGTATGACTTACAGTACAATACGTATCTACTCTCCCCGAAAGCTGTCCCTCCGTACGAATAAGCGTAAAAAGCAACTGAAACATAACTGTTTTAAATCTTAAACTTACATTGCTTCCTTCCCATGCAGAGAAAAGTCTTTCGAGGACTACGACGACTACCCGAAAATGGGTCCTGGACTCTCCTCCTCCTCGGAAAATGAGATTTCACATTCTCGAAAGAAGTGTTCAAGAGGTTATCGGTTCCGAGTCTTCGGATTTCACATAGGTAGCGAGCCTATAGAAAAAATCCGAACAGTCGAACAGAGATGCTCGAGACTTCCGAGCCCTCATTACCCGAGGATGCGACGAGGGCTCAAATCAAATCATATCAAATTTATTTAGCAACATAGGCCCTGGACAGTTACAAAAAAGTGATAACTTGAGAACAGTAGCCACCATTTGAGTTAGAGTAACTAAAAACGAAGTCTTTTCGTCTACTTGAGTTCCGAACATCTCTGCTCGACGGTTCGAAAGTTTTCTCGAGGGCTCGCTACCTATTTGAAACCGTGGGCTCGAAACTGATAACCCCACGAACGCTTATATCGAGGATCCCAAGTCTCCTTTTTCAAGGAGTTGAGCCTTCGACGAGGACCCATCGAAAGTGCATTTTCGAGTACTTGAAATACACCTCGAACAAGAGGTTGGGTTCTAATAGGAGATACACATCACAACTTCCCAACTGATTATATCAGGACGCGATTTTTCTTTAAAATAATACTAATAGAAATGATATAATGTGAACTGTGCCATTCCTTTCTTCTTTCGTCGATTGATTTTCAAATGGAGTAATACAATTTGTGGGCTGAAAACACCAGATAACTCATGACGAAAAGAGATATTCATAACTTGTTATATACAAATATCCAGTCAAAAGTAGTTTCTATGTTCGATCTATTTTACCTTTAATATTTTAAAAAATTTTCATGGTATTGTTATTGAAACTGTATAATTGTTCAAATCCATGATTTTGATAAGACAATATGCAAAACAGAACTGGCATGATGTTCCTATAACCTTCTCTGAATAAAATCAACTTGATTAAACTGTTTCTATTGCTTTAAATTGCGTGTCTTACATACAGAGATGTAAAAATGATATGGTTTTCGAATAACAACAATTCATACTGTGTTTGTCAATCTTTCATTTCCTTTTCTAACATTCTCCCTTGTGATGAATGATTAGCATGCTAAAGAATATTTTTATTCAATTAATTCAACTCGATTAGACGATTAGCCTAGTTTTTTTTTTCTTTTCCACTGCATACGCAATATAAGACTAATTATGACCTTAAAACAACTTGTTTCATTAGTAATAGTAACTAATATATAATTTAATTTCTTTATCCATCTATAATTAAGACTCATCCGTTAGTCAGACAACCAACCGATAAGAACATCTGTTCAAACGATTGTCATCTATAATAGAAAATAGTACACATGAATAATGTATTAATAATCACTATACTAGTCGACAATGACGTTATGATTCAATATTATCGACTAAACGGAAATGCCTTGTATATGGATCATTTAGAAGATTGTCGTTTGACAGAGGGCGAGTAGTGTTAAATTTGACGATAATTTATAGATATGGTAAAGTTAAACAATTAAAAATTAGTTTTCATCGAAAAAAACATTTTTTGACTTCAACTCTAAATTTTTTTTTTCGCGTCTCTCTAAATTAAGAAAAGAAGTTCATGAAAGCTAAAATACTTTGTACACTGAAAAAATTTATACTAGTTCTGGAGAACTTATATTAAGTCGTTCTTGTTTCATCATGACGGAGATAAATCTTCTACCCATTGGGTTTAAATTAGCGTTTTTCTCCGTTTGTTTTCCTATAACTCATATGAAAGATAGGAAAAAAAATTTCATCATTATCCATGTATACTATGATAGTTTCTTCTTGACTTCAAAAAAATGCAAATATTGTTGTCTCTTCATGTCAGACGATTGATTTATCTTCATTTGAAGAACAACAAAAAATAAAATCGTTTTTTTTTTTCTTCTTTTCTCTTCAAAGGTCACTAACCAATCCGTTTTTATTCAACGATGAAGAAAAAAAAAATTAGCCAATCTAAGTTATTACACTTGTTTTGCGTTCTTCTTTATACGCACTGATTTGTTCTATATCTTTCCCTTACTCTTTTTGATGTATCTACACACGCGCAAGAAAAATTAGTAGTTGTTGATGATGAGCAGTGATTTGCCGATTGGTGAAAGAACAAAATGCATCATGTGAGAAATTTCATCGTTTGCATTTTGAGAAAGAAAGCGTAAAAAAGCTGCGGATCGATATATATTCAAATTTTTCTTCTTTTCTTTTTTCTGAGAAAGAGAGAAGAAAGAAAAAGAAGCAAAATATACGTAATTGAAATTTAATTATTTTTTTTCCACATACTAACTTTAACTCTTTTTGCATTAATAATGAGTTTGCGTTTCCTTTATCTGTTGTTGTGCTTGCTGATTTGAAAATTAGATTTTTTTTGGACATAATAACAATTTATGATAATGATTTCTATGAAAAACGCTTAAGTAAGTATAAAAATAAAAGCCAAGAATGCTAATCGTTAATTTGATTATTATTATCGCAAAGAAAACCCACATACATAAATATTTATGTTTATGTGTATTGAAGAACACCTGATTTGTTTAATACATCACTTAGTAGTATCCAAGCATTGATAATACTACTAGTTGATTATTGTACGAAGTGACTGTCAAAAAAATGTTGCAAAGAAAAACTTTGAATACACGGCAATTTTCTGCTCAATATGAGGTTTGTGGGGGAGTCACTTAATGCGCCCAAAGATTCAAGTTTCAAAGCGTTAAAATAAGGACAATAGTTGCATAGATGACATCAACGAGAGATGCTGATAAAGGAAAGTAAATCTTTAGCTAATAATTTAAGCAAAAAAGTCAGAAGATAGTAGTTATATGAACAAAAAATTTATATTGGAGTAAGAAAAATATTAATGAAGATAGTAATTCGTTAATTTTTTACAAAGCTATTATTCAATGTTGCAGGTTAAATAGTCTTACAGTAGCGATTCTTTTTACTCTTGAATTTTCAGTTTGAACCCAAAGATCCTACATTTTCTTCTTGAGAATAGATCGATGTTAGAGTCAGCGATGTTCCACCTTTCAGATTTTTTTATGAGATTTATCCTCATCCGTTGATGGCAACACTTTTGGTTAGAATTACGCCTATGGCATTGTGGACGACGCTCATTAAATGCTACCTTGAAATTCTAAGGGTAACTTCATGCTCTTATTAGAAAGAGTTAGCAATTACGTTGCATTCTGACTGTATTCTTCCTTGGTTAGACATTTTTTCATTCCCCTTACCATAATCATAATAGTTCCGTATACCGCGTTAATCTGACGTATAATGTTACCTCACCTAACAGAGGTAAGGGAATTATTTGAGTCTATTTATCTAATTCTTTCTTTAAAATTTTAAAAACATATCACGTCCTATATTTTCTTCTTTTTTCTAGTAATTTAAATTCCTTATCATGGCTACAATAACATCAACGAATCAATATTCTCTTCATCATCATCATCATCATCATCATTTACATCCCTTGAGCCCACAATCGGTTTTAACAATTCAAAATGCGGCTATTGTTGCGCAAACAGGTGTTTCTCCTGCCACAGTCTACGATACAACACCACCCTATCATTTCTATGGCTCATCTACGTCAAAAGAACTATACAGTACTTCAAATGAAATTAAATGGAATCACCATCCTCATCATCAACAATCGTACCTAATTCAAGATTCAAATAGTCCACCTTTACCATCTACAAATAAAACGCCGACACCAGGCGCGAGTAATACACCGAGTCCTCCACAATCACCAACATGGCAATATCAGCAACAACAATCGGGTGTCATTATGCAGAATAAAAATAAAGATGGAACTCCCACACAAAATGGGTAGGCTATTAAAAGTGATTGATCAACTGTTTACCTGGTTATATAGACTGCATGGCTTCTTATACAGATAAAAATATGAGACTTTTTTACCGAATATAGTTTAGGTTTGCCGCTTAGATAAAAAAGATTTAAATTATACTTGAGTTCGTCTAAACTGACAAGAACTTATTCGGTTCTTGAGCAAAATCAGTTTTTTTGAAAGGAAAAAAATGTTCAGAGATTGCAAAAATATTTTTCATTTATCTCTGTAGAAACTTTTTGAGTTAAAAATTCAACAAATTGAAGAATTCAATCGTTTGTACTATAGCCAACTTTTGCCATGTAATAGATGTTAATCAGATTTTAATTTTATTTGAGATTATACTCAAAGTACTGACCATTTTTGAGACTTTTAGCTCGTATTTTTGACTGTTCTCTTTTTCTAGATACATCCGCAATTTACCACCACAACCTCAAAATGGTTTTCTTCCACCATGGCCACTACCGACCAACAACAGTTTTAATCATCCATATTTTCATGTTGCCATGGCACATCATCATCAACATCCATCTCATATACATCAACTCCAACAACAACAACAATCACATCCAGGTGGTCAACAGTATATAAATCCCAATGATTCTTTGGTTTCGGGTATCATGAGTGGCAGTGGTGGTAGTCGAGATGATGAATGTCAGAGCGAAGAAGAACTAATTGATAATAATGATTTAGACCGTTTTGCTAAACAATTCAAACAACGACGAATCAAACTGGGTTATACACAAGCGGATGTGGGTCTAGCTCTTGGTAAGAATAACGTATGAAGAAGGCGGAAAATTTCATCAAAAACTAACTATAATTTTTTAAAAAGATGTCTTTTATATACATCAGTTGTATTCAGACTTCCATACACATTTTACTTTCAATTTCTACGTCTACATTAGTTTTTGAAAACGCAGGGAAGAGTTAAAAATAATTCTGCTGTATTTTAGGCAATCTATATGGTAACGTCTTCAGTCAAACTACCATTTGTCGTTTTGAAGCCCTCCAATTAAGTTTCAAAAATATGTGTAAATTGAAACCATTACTTCAAAAATGGCTCGAAGATTCTGAATCCCAAACGGGTACGTCAAATTCGATGGAAAAAATCGCGGCTAGTGGACGTAAACGAAAAAAGCGTACATCGATCGAAGTATCAATTAAACAAGCATTAGAAATTAACTTTTCTCGAAATCCAAAACCCGCTGCACAAGACATTGTCTCATTGGCCGATCAACTGGGTTTGGAAAAAGAAGTTGTACGTGTTTGGTTTTGTAATCGACGACAAAAAGAAAAACGTGTTACACCACCAATTGGTGGTCAGAAAAATGGGAATGATGAACAAACAACAACAGATATGTTTGGATTTCAAGAGGGAAGAACAGTGAACGGACGATCAGAGGAGACTGAAACATCACCGTTACTCGATCATATGAGTATGAATAATTTTCACGCACGTGCTCATCATCACTCACAGCAACCGCATATTTTACATCACCATCCGCAACAGTTTAAACAGCGACTATCGCCAAGTCCTAACGTAAATGATTCAACAACGCTTTATGGGGGAAGGTAATTTGTTGCCTTTGTTCTGATGTTTTTCTTTGCTTGTATCTGCAGATTATTTTTGGTTGATTAAGATACACTAGATGCACAAAGTTAGAATCGATGTGAAATCACGTTGTTCTGACAATACCCGTCTAGCGTATCTGAACTTTTTCTAGTTTAAATTTATTCGGTCCTCTCAGCAGAACTGTTGGATAAGATGACAAATGATGAGGGAACAAACTTAAGGTAAAATGGAGAAATTTTTCTTTGTTCTGTGAAAATTTGAAAGTTTGTCAGAAGCGGGTATGACTAACGATCGTTACGCGTAGCACATTGGATTTAGGGATTGATTTCTTTTACTACAGAGAACATAAAAGGTTCTTCTTCATCCTCCGACTGATGTAAGTCTTTTTTTATCGCAGTTTCTTTCAGAAGTATGCCACAAAAGGGATCATAATCGAGAGTAGATTTTCGAGATATTTATTGATACAAACTACCCAATAATCTCCACACTGTTCTGCTATATTTTTAAAGTATAAGTACAGTAATATTTTGAATCATTTTTTTGTCTGGTTTGTCGAAGCTTTACGGTATTTTTGTTTTTTTTTGTATTCGTGATAATTATTGTTGTTGTTTTTTTATTTGCCATGCATGAAACAAATTATTCTCACTTTCTCTATGTAGATATATTATTTGAAGAAAAAAAAAAGAAGAAAATGAATATTTTTTAACTACACTACTCGTTAATTAAACCCGTCTTATTATATATAGTAGAAAAACAAAATCACTTAATTCTTCATCGCGTTACATGCACCTTAAATGTCACACTCCACCTTTCTCACTTTTTAGTTTCTCTTTCTCTCACTCTCACTCTCTCTCTCTCTCTTTTTTTACGAGAGATCAATCAATTGGAATTTGATTCTTTCACTTATTCTTCCTCTTTTCTTCTTGTTTAAGTTTTATCCCAGCGATAAATTTTATACCTGGTATGTTGATGCAAAGGAAAGGAAGGACAAGAAAATATTGTACAGATTTAGTAATAACGAGAAGAAAAAGGATAAGTAAATATTTAGACATTTCATTTTTTGTTTTACTCTCAAGGAAAGAAGATATACACACACAAAAAAACGCTCAATTTTAGGATAAATGAGACTCACATAGATCCATGACATGAAATAAACGGTAGAAATCTAACGGTACTTAGCGAATTTCAAAGTTTTCAAATACAGATGGATATAAAGATGCATGTTTAAAAATGAAAAGTTTCTTATATAGACTACTCTAAAGCATGTGTCCCATGATTAGATTCAGTGATATCAACAGGTGTTGCACGAATCATCATAACTTTGAAAAGAAAAAAAATACGTTGTCTTATATTTATATGTATATGCATATAGAACGAAAGCTTATAATTTCATCAAGTAATAAATTGATAAAAGAACAAAATTGTAACTATTTCAAGTGACTATTAATATTAAATCTCAAGTATAGTCAGAACGTCTGGCTTGAACTATTGAGATATAAAATGTTGTAGACAAACTTATTGGTCACAAATACATGTGAAAGAAAAGAGACAATGGATATTTATCAGATTACATAACTGTAATGAGAAAGATAGCGTCTTCCAACCACTCTTCCGAAGAGTATTCAGGCACTTGAAATATGATTTTGATGAACAGTCGCTGATTGTTCAATCACTCAGAAAATAAGGCTTCGAGAGGTAATCAGTTTCGAGATCTCAAAAGAACTTTTGAGGCCTTCGAATAGAAATGTTCAGGATTTCTGCCGCACTTATGGATAAAGTCTTTTTGTCTACTCAGGATCGCTTCATTTACATATCAAAAAACTTTTGTATCTAATCAAATTCTTGGCGATGAGATTTTATCTTTAAAAAAGAAATAAAAATCTACGGAAAACTTGATAATCTGACTTAACAACACCTTACCTTCTACGAAAAACACTTCATTGTTATCAGAAGTGATAATAATTAACAAACTAAATGAATAGAATGTGGTACCATATTAGAAGTTTAACATAACTAGAATAGAACAAGACTATTCTACACTCAACATCTAAGTGATCGGGAAAAAAAAAAGAATATAAATAATGTTAATCCTTTAGACTGTTTGACTGACTGACTATTATTGTTTCATCATTAACTTACCGCATCTTTTCATCGATGTTTAGCTAACACAATGATTCAAATAGACACTATTCTCAACTTAATATTGTTTTGTCGTATTCATAGAATAATACTGTTCAGATTTAGGATTGATATACAATAATGATGATAAGTATTTCTATACTGTCCCACTCAAAAATTTGTTTTTCCTCAAATTGTTGTTAATGCCTTGATTTTTACTCCAAAGTAGTCAAACATCTCTATTATATTCACTCAAAAAGTATATTTAAATTCTGAAAAGATTTTCTTTTTAGACCCAAGACAGTAAAGTAATTTTGCGATAGGTTAAAATTATTTATACAAAAGAGTAAGTTCCATTTCTTTTGTACTTAAGCAAATATGAATAAGCGGATTTTCACTGCTAGATGAGCAAACTTTTTAGATACATTCTGACAAACAATGTTCTCTTGAAATCATGATTTCTTATTGTAAAGCTTGATTTTGAAGTGTCATGTTTCACTAAAAAATCACCATAGATACTGAAAAGATATGTGAACTAAAGTGGTAGACAAAAGTTTAGACAAATTTGTTTTCGGTTGTTTTCTTTTCTTAAACTATGGTAGTTAGATCAAGAACAAAAATTGATTTGGATAGGTGTTCTAAGAAGCAGACCACATCTGTGGCAACAAAGATTTAAAAAAACGGCAAGTGCCAAGATTCCAGTGGAAGTTTGCTCTGAACAGCTTAGTCGTGTGAAGCAAACATTTTTGAACAAAACTAGATCGCACCGAGCTCGCCATGATGCTTTTCCAGTGAACTGCTGCCAATTTACGAAAGGTCCACCGGTCATTTTTCTCTTTTTCTCGCATTTTTGCTGATTTTGATGTCAACAAGTCTACCTTAAATTGAATACAGTTTCATGAAAAAGCATCTTAGAGAGCACGGTGTGGTCTAGTTTTGTTCAGAAATGTTTGCTCTACACGACTTAGCTGTTCAGAACAAACGTCCACTGAAATCTTGGCACTTGGCCTTTTTTTTTGAATCTTTGTTTGTCATAGATGTGGTCTGCTTCTTAAAACAGCTATCTAAATTAGTTTTTGTCTTTGATCTGGCTATCTTGGTTTAAGAAGAGAAAATAACGGAAATGGCCTACTTTACTGTTATATTGTTAAAAAGAATCTGAAAAGCAAAAGAAAATTTTTATTTTTAGACTAAAAATACAAGTTTTGTCATAATTTTATAATAATTTTTCACATAGCTTCATCAATTTTAAATGATGAGTACGCGGGTGTATGAATAATTTTGATGACTATAATATATACTATGTAAATTTGAAACACTGATGACAGATGGTGTCCTATTTATATACTACTCATTTTTTCTGAAGTTAAAATGGATAAAACAAACAAAAACCATGCGACAGCTGAGTAAAAAATAACATTAAGGATAGTGAAAGAGGAAGGTCAATGTCTGACTAAGTGAAAAAAAAAGAGCTTAATATTAAATATGATGTTGTATGTTGTACATAGAAAACATTTTTTTCATTTAAATTTTGTAAACTTAATTTATTATTACATTCAAATCCATGGCTATCCTAAAATGTAATTAACTAAATATCTTCTTTCTGATTACCACTTTGTATTGTTGTCATTATATACGTAATATTACGATGGTTTAATTAAGATAGATATTTAAACATTCACTTTTTTTGAACTGTTTCTATTTCTCTCTTGACTTTTGTTTCGAATTCACTAGTGACATTTCTTTTTCTTTTTTCTAAAATAATTTTATTCCCATTTGTCATCTTTCTTTTCTTCGTTTCTTCAAATACGCAAAACAAAGAAAATGTTTTTTTCAATCACAGTTCATTTTCTGCTTGTCTTAACAAAGACAGATAGATCTAAAGCTAAAATCAACTGTCAATGGATCTCTATTTTTGCTCTCTCTCTCTCTTTCTCATCACCATATGTCATGACAAAATTATTTTGATAGTAAAAGCATAAAAAACAAGTTCATTTAATCTGATTAATTTTTGAACGAATTCATCTATTCGACTTGATCGTGAAAGAAACAATTCCTTCTCAAAACTTACTACTGATCTCATGCTAAATTTATTAAGTAATTTAGAATAACTGACTGATAAATCAAACTAGTTTTTTTCTTCCCAATTATACTTGTCTTCTCTATATTAATGTTCTCTTCTTCTCTGATGTGTGTACGACATCCGGTAACGTGAATGTGTGACATTGTTCACGATTATGTGTTACAAAAGTGTTGAGATATCATTTCCATATGAGAGAGAGAAAAAAAACGAAACTGTAAAAATAATAAATATTTTCATACTTCTGTCGGTTACCTTTGACATATTTTATTTATAGATTGCACACTATTTAGTTCCAAAAAATGTATCTCAGATTAATCGCAGTCAATTCCGTTTTGTTTCTATTGATCTCAGACCATCGAAAGTTTCACAGAATAAGAAAAGAATTGATGTATCTGTAACACCAATTGTAAATCCGTTATTTAAACTAGTGTTTAAATGGTGTGGTAAACAGTGTTCTGATCAGAGAATATGCTCAAATAATGTAGCTATTTAGTTATATTTGTTATGTTTTTCAAAATTCATACTTTCTTGTATCCTATAATGTACTTTATGACTGAGGATAAAGTTTTATAGGCAAATCGAATGCTAACTTATTCATAATATTTAGCAACACGAAGTTGAGGACAACTGCTTGTGACGACAGCTGAAAAGTGACCGTTTCTGACATAAAATTGCACTGCTTATTTCCTACAAACAATAACATACTATATAGAAGGAACGAAGGAGACTAGGCATGCAACGGTAACGGTATTTTACCGGTTTACCGGTTACCGCTACATGCTTAAAGAAGACTAAAATAGGAGAATGCTTACTTTTACGGAAGATATTTATTACTTATTTTTACTTATTTAGATATCAAATCATG